ATATATATATATATATATGTTATATATATATATATATATATATATAAATTACTATATTGTTGCCATTATCTATATATCGCTAGTCTATTTTAATTTTCCTCATTATAACAATTGCTTTCGTTTGCTCATAATAAGCTATATCATTAAATCGAGTTTATGATGAAAAGATGCAACAGCGACTTGCATAAAGTCTTCCTGTAAGTTATATATATCCCTTCCGCGGAAATTGTTGCAATATAACTTTACTGGAACGAGGCAAATAGAATGAAATATTTTTTAAGTAAAATTCTGAACCATCACACACACACACACACACACAAAATCATTATATAAAAGTTACTTCTAAAATTTTTCCAAGTCACTACGTAAAATTGCGAAGCTCGATAATTAATATAAAGGGAGGGCAAACGAAAAAGAGCTCGAAAATGAAATCCGTATTAGGAGTTTAAGAGACTCAGTAATAAGAATTTGTGCATGTTACTCCACATTGATCGACGAAATATGAAGTGCAAATAGCTTCACGTTCCATTATGAAATTCGTAAATTATGTTAAACATGAACTTCCCATTCGCGCAGTGTAATCTTATTTTCTTCGGGATCTTAGGATCTCCACACGGACGTGCGACTTGTCCACCGTGTACGCCGCGCGACACGAATAGTACGTGTAATCGCGAGAGCCGCGCGCAAGCGCGTGACAGAAAAGTATCGGAGATCACGCGCGTGTACGCGCGACACACGCGCACTTCCTCGCGATTTTCCACCTGGAGCCGATCCAGCCGCGCAACTCGATCGCACTCCGCGTTCCCATCGCACACGTTTCACACGTACACTCGCGCGAATTAATCCGCGAAACGATTTTCGCGCGACGGAGCGAAGCGGATCGGCGAGTGAGAAAAGACGACGACCATGGGAACGCTCTGGCGAAATCGATTCCTCGTCGATAAGACCGATTCACTCGGACGAACGCGGCGGACGAGATGCCCGCGCGTCTCCAGATGACGACGGGACGACGAGGAAATCTCACGGAGAAACTGGTGCGAGGATGAATAAAGAAACGAAGCGAACGGAGCCGGGAGGAAAAGGGATAGAAAGGCGAGGAGAAAAGCGAGAAAATGTCCGCGTGTTAATACTATACGTGTCGGTGCACGGTCGGCGTGGGAAACACTCGCGGGCCACACTCCTCGGATTTCTTCGGTCAATCGAGAATTTCGGGGGGCATCCGGAGCGTGTATGATCGGAGCGAGCGGAGAACGAGCGTACACGCGGTGCGACTGCGTTCTCTCTCTCCTCGTCTTTTCTTCTCACTCTTCTCTCTCTCGCGCGGGGAGAACACCGACCTTATTGCTCTCTCTCTCTCTCTCTCTCTCTCGCGCGCGCGCGGCCGGAAAAACTCGCGGAAAGTCTACGACTGGCGGTACGAATATTTTGGAGGTTTTGACGAGCCGAGGCGGCGACGGCGGCGGCGGCGGTGGCGGTGGCGGCGGCAACGTGTCGGAGGAGGAAGGAGAGAGAGAGAGAGTGCGCATGTAACGCCCGCGCGCGCGCCTCACAAATGAGAGAAAGACGGAGAAAATGTCAGTGCGGGGGAAAAGAAAGGGGGGGCAAACGGAGACGGAACGAGAATCAAAGGAAGGAGAGAAAGGGGGATAGCGACAGAGAAAGAGAGAAAGAGAGAGTGAGAGGGAACGAGGTGTTTTTCGAGGACCGGCGTTAGCAGGCTGGCATCTCACAATATGTCAGAACTCCCCGCGCCCCCCTTCATCGCGCGACGATGCGGCGGGTCACTGAACTGCGCGCCTCCGCTGATGATGGCCGAGTGCCTCACCCTTTGCTCCCTCCACCCCTCTTCACGCCCCGTCAGCGCCATGGCCCCCACCGCCCCCGCGCGGTTCAACGGAGACTCGCGAGCGTCGGCGAACGCCGCCGGCGACGGCCGATCGTCGCCGGGAACGGCCGAGTGCCGCGCCGGCCGGATCACGAGCGCGTAGCGCGCGCTTTCCGATCTCGACTCGTGCGACGCGTTTGCTTTATTAGTGCGCCTCGTTAAGGTCACTGGCGTGCTACCTAAATGCATGCGCGTATCGTGTTTCCT